GAACTATGGCCACAAAAAAAAATATGTCATTTTCTTGGCCCTTAAAAAAAAAACGCGGGGCCCTTAAAAAAAAAAAAAAAAAAAAAGAGCTGCCAGCTGCTAAGGGCCTGACTGCCAGCGGGCATTTGTGTAAGTGGGCCCGCTGGCACCCCGCCTGCTGGGCACGCTGGACACCCCTCGCCCACCACCCAAGAGTCAGGGGTCAGTTCCTTAGCTGTCCACGCCCGGATGCCTCCAAGATCTGAGAAAAGGGAATGACTGTTCTTGTAGAGGTTGGCAGCTGCTCACCGGGAGCTGGGGAGGAATCGGTGTGGACCGCAGAAGAAAGGTCTGGAGCAGCAAACACCCCAGGAGAGGGGAATCAAGTGGGCAAACGCAGGACATTAGGGGTGAGGCTGAGACCTGCTGGGTCCAGCAGGAAATCCAGCTTGACCAGGGACGTGATTTATGCTGGGGACCACTGGGAGACCTGAAAGCTATGGGGGAGAGGTCTACAGGCCACTGGTCTGAGTTTAGCACATCCTTACCCAGCCTTGCAAATGAATCCTGAAATGGTCAGGGTATCCACAGGAGGAAACAGTTAAAGGCTCAGAAAAAGAGCCACTGCCCCTCATTATTAAAGAGTGGACCTTATTCACACCGTCAGTGCAAAGTACAAAAAGGAGGGCTTCCCTGGTGACGCAGTGGTCAAGAGTCCACCTGCCGATGCAGGGAACGCGGGTTCGTGCCCCGGTCCGGGAGGATCCCACATGCCGCGGGGTGGCTGGGCCCGTGAGCCGTAGCCGCTGAGCCTGTGCGAGGCCCGCGTACTGCAAAAAAAAAAAATCAGCACCATTTCCCACCAGGTCACTGGCCCCTGGCACTCCTTCCCCTGACCATAGCCATTTTCTGATATACACAGAAAAATGTCAGTGAACCCCCAACTCTGTTTTTGAAAAATTTATTTTATACCCTCAGAAGCTAAGAACTGCCACTCAGTGAACCAAATTTAAAATTAAGTTTCTTCCCTAGTTTATCTACTTCCTTTTGAAATTTTATAAACAAGATTTTGTACACAAGAGGTAGCAGAGGAAAATTCCAGTCTGCTCGTTCCAAGCTCAAAAGGTAACGGCACACACCTCGATGTTAGCAGGGAGGGTGGAGCAAGACAGGGTGAGTCTGGTGACACGTGCTCTAGGCCCACGTTTGTTCTGTCAGGGCTGTATGTGGGCTCCAGGGGAAGTCACGGGCCAGGTGCCCTTCGGAAGGCTCATTTGCGTTCTCTCCCAGGACGCCTCTAAGGGGCTGATTCGGCCATCCTAAGAAGGGCCTCACGAAGGGAGCTTCTTGAGAACACACAGCATTGAGTTTAGTTGTGCAATTCCTACTCGATTTGCAGACCATTTTGAAAGATTTATAAAAACATCTTCATCCAAAAAAATTGGCAGTAAAAATGACCCTTCTTCCAAAGTAAGCCTGTCGTAATTGTCACTTTGTTGTATGACATTCAAAAAAAGTCATCAGCAGGTTCGTAGACTGCAGCCATTGGAAATCAAGGTTACTGGCAAAGTGAAAGTGATGTTCCTCGCAGCAACAACGTGAGCATATCAACCAGGGCACCTAACATCAGTGGCAGGTGATGCTGGTCCTGAAGAACATGACCATGAAGGAGCAGGTGCTGGGGGCTGTGGAAGGCATTGTTTCCATAGGAAAGAGGGGACAGAAGTGGCAATTTCACTCCTGAATCTGGGCTCCTGAGAGCGCAGCTGCCAGCGTGATAGCTTCACGCTTTACCACGGCTGGCATTTCAGCATCAGGCCCTGTGGGGTCGCTTTGTGAGGATGGGGATGGAGGGGACGGCTGGGGAGATAGTAGGACATGGGGTATTCATGTGCTCAAAATCCATTTTGAAACATCACACTTGAATTTGCAAGAACATCAGAACCACATAAAATCTCCCAGCTGCCTCTGACCCTTCCTCTGGGGTGCAGCTCTGCTCTTAGGTGTCGGCCCTCCACCTCCTCAGTGTCTTTTGACAGAAGCCACCACCAGCCTGTCACGCAATCACAAACTGCAGCCTGGTTGCACCGTAACTTCGACCTTCGACTGTGAGATGACAGGGTCTGCAGTGCGCAGTGGGAGCAGCTGTCTGTCCTGTCACAGGTCCACCGAGCCTCTC